AAGATAAAGCAAGACCTATATAACAAAAAATGTAACTTTTGTATTTGACAAGGCCAGTCAAATCCCCTCAGGACTTACCCTGAAACCCTGTACCGCAGGTTACAGATCCTTTGTCAGTGTCAGCCATGTGTATGAGTCACAGCCATTGCTTGACCAATTTGCTGTCTGTGAAAGCCTGAGAGGATGTTTTATCTCCAGGTGACTCTCCTTAGGCACACTCTACATCATCCATCACTTTTCTCTGTGGCCCCATAATCTCCTTGATCAGAAAATTTGGGACATCGCTGAGTTACAGGATGTTACAGTACAGGTTCTCCTGTGTCCTGAGTCTTTACTGACCTTGAAGGGCTATGGCCAAAATGTTGGCTATCCTTGCAGCCCTTCTTTTTCTCTAATTTTTTGGTCTGAAAATTTAAGTTGTTAACTATCTGGAAGAGAAGCTTAATGATATTATTATCCTAGAACATAGGCTTGAGCCTATTCAGTATCTGTCTGAATATCAAATGCGTTAGACACTCCTTAAACTGGTGCTTTTGACATTTTTCCCTATGTTTTCTTAAACTAAACATTAAAATTCTTTTAGTTTTAGCTATTCATTTTGATAATAAAATTCTTAATATTTTTATTCCTGCTTATAGTTTTGACTGAAACCTGTAAGTTTTATCATGAAGAACTGTATTGCATTTTAGATGTCATTTTTAGTTTGTTTTTCTCTTTTGCTGAAAGTTGTCTCTTAATTTCTAAGTATAGCCATTAAGGTTTGAGATTTTTCTTTTTTCTTTTTTTGGTGGAACCAGGGATTGAACTCAGACCCTTGCGCTTGCCAGGCAAGTGCTTACTCTACTGAGCTATCACCCTGGCCCTGAGATTTTTCTTATTTATTAATTTTATTGAATTAGGGTAAATAAAAATGATTTCTACAACTTATTTAAAAATTTTGTCCACAATTTATCTATGGCCAAATGCAGAATTTAATTGTCTTAAAGGAAATTTAAAATATGCTTTTTTCTATTCCTACGTATATTGCATCAATCATATTTAGATTTGAAAGAGTTTATATATAAAAGAATATGAAATTCTACAAAAGTGTTCTGAATCTCTTATTATTTATTTTTCTCAATTTATGTTGTTTTATATACAATATTTACTTAGATTTTTTTTGGTTTGTACAGTAAAGCAAACAAAACTATATATAATTCTCGTATCTTTTTTATATAAATGTTTTTTGTCACTATTTGTGTCTCTTTTTTACATGTTTTGTTCACCGAATTTTGATTTATGCTTTACTACTAGTGTTACTGATATAGGAGAAAAATCTAACTTCCAATCTACTAGATGTCAGATGTTCTGAATTTGTGGTTCCCAAAATTGAAGGGTAACTTTTCAGGAACAAGACAGATTAAGAATAAGAATAATTTATTGAGAGAAATAACTCCTGAGAGACAAGAGGGGAGGTTGCCACAGACCCCATTTCTTAGAAGAGGTTATACAGAGCAAAATTATGAGGTGGGTACACTGTGGGTCAAAACTATGATCAACCAGGAAGATTAAAAGTATAGCTGCTTAGTAGTGGACAAGCAGGTCACACAGCAAGTGTTTGTTCTTTGTAGAAAGAACAAAGACCTTTTCAGGAAGAGGTGAATGAAAAGGTCCTGGTCACCACCTGGGTGACTGATGCCTATCTAGACTTTTTGGGACTGTGTATGTATAATCATCCATTTATTGCTTATCCCTCTGGGAGACATGTACGCCTGGTCATTCTGTTTTTATCTTGAGGTCTGGTCTTCTGCAGATGGGCCTCTATGATGCGTTGTCATCTTCTGCACTGAGGTCTTCAAGGCCCTAGCCCTGTCTGATGTCTATGATATTTTTACCTAACTTAGCTATTAGTACAATATTATTATTCCTGCTCACTTTTTCTTCTCACTTACTGTATTTTTCATCTCTGATATTCTTTTAAAAACTAAAGTATCTAGATATATTTTGCAAGTCTATATATAGAATTTATATAATGTTTTCTGCCTTTTACTATTATCTTTAGGTTGTATTTTTTAATAGAATCTAAAGTTAACCAACATTTTTCTCAAATGATACAAAGATCTTAAAAGTGTTTAACTCTATGTTGCTTTGCATTATTTGAAAGAAATGGTCATTCATACAATTTCCATTTTTATTTAGAAATGAAGATAGTAGTTGTGACTATGATTAGTATGGCTTTGAATTTGTTTTGTTTTCTAGATATCTTTGATGATGTTTTTATAGCAGGAAAATGAACCTGGACTTCAATTGTTTTGATGGACTTTGATAGCTTAATGTTTACTTTGCGTATTGGTATATAATTTCACCTTCAGCTTAAAACATACAGTAGCCTTCAAATGAGGCATACATATTAAAGATAGAATTATTATAGACCGAGTTCTTGCTTTCTGATGCTTTACATAATTTGAGGATTTAAAGAGAAAGAATATCTTGTGTTTTCTCTATAAATACATTTTAGACATATGTGATTATTCACATTCACTTTTTCTTTGTTTAGGTAAAATATTTATTTTCTGATAAGACAGGAACTCTCACTTGCAATAGAATGACATTTAAGAAGTGTAGCATTGCAGGTATACCTTACAGGTAAGTGTTTTTATTGTCATGCTTTCCCCGAAATGCCCTTTTCTTTCTTTCGCCTTAGAATAAATTAGCTTTTATTTATTCCAAGATATATCTGAATTTCTAACACTACAGAGGTAGATTTAAACTTAATGTAGTCTCTGTGAACAATGGCTGTTGTTAAAAATATGATTAATATCTGTGTTTATACTCGGTCAGGGTTCCAAGGCATACTGCATTGACAGGCTTGTGATACATCCCTTCCTCACTTCCCCTAATCACTCAGATTAGTGATGACAGAAGGAATTGCTGTTAGGGCAGGAAAAAACAAGGGGATGAGAAGGAATTCAGATGCGTACATGTGCCAACTCCTCACAGTGATTGTGGTTGTTACATGCTGAAGACATGTACTAATACAAATAAAAATTAAAAAATAAAATGCAGAATAAATAGAAACTTCAGGTATAGACAACTTTCTTCTCTACTCTGCCTTTGTTTCTTTCCACTGCTGTTAGCTTTTATGAGTGACAAGTTGTACCTCCCTCATTTCAGATCTTCTCATATGGTTTTCTAGAATCATGCCTGTAGTCTATTGTATTTGTAACAACTATCTCAAACTGTTGATAATTGCAGGCTCAGTATCCCTTGTCTGAAATGCCTGGGACTTGATATGTTTCAGATTTTAGGCTGTTCTGTGTTAGGCTATTTACATGTTTGTGATGCAATCCTGGACCCAAGTCTAAAATAAGTCACTTATTTCTTCATATACAATTTATACTCTTAGCCTAAAGATAATTTTATAAAACTTACAGGGTTTTGAGTGATAAGTAATAATTATATATATACTTATGGGCTATAGTATAATATATTAATTATTTGTACACAGTGTATAATAATTAAGTATGGGTAATTGGCTTATTTATAACTTGAAAGATTTATTATTTCCTTTTTGCTGAGAACATTGAAAATCTTTTCTTGTAGCTATTTTTTTTTTTAAATTATGTACTTGGTACAGGGTCTCACTATGCAGCTTGAATTCATAGTGATCCTCCTATTTTCAGCCTCCCCAGCACTGGGATAACTGATTTGTGCCACCACGCCTGGTCTTGGTGGCTGGCTCAGCTGGCCTGTGGTGCCAGGGATTGAACCCTGGTCCCTGAACTTGCCTAAGCAAGTGCTTAGTCTGCTGAGCTATCTAATGGGCCTTCTTGTAGCTATTTTGAAATATACAATAAATGATTGTTAGCTATAGTCATTATACTGTGTTACAGAACACTAGAACTTAATGTTCTTAACTATTATGTATATAATATTTCCAATACTTTTGCATATGAAGGAATGTTTCATGCTGTGGAATTTTCCACATCATTGTTGGTGCTGAAAATGTTTTGGGTTTTGGAGGAGTTTGGATTTCAGATTAAAGCTGCTCCACCTAGTTTCAGCAAAAGTTTAGATAGACATTTTCTAATGCCATCTTGAAGTTCAAGACATGAGATCTTTGCCACGTAAAGAACTGTACCTATTTATTTTGGCACTATAAACTCTTTAGGTGTGGTCCTCCTGAAAACAGAAGATGAGACCGTGCATTTATCTTTCAGCCTTTAGTAATTAGCACTACTGGAGCTTCCTGTCGAAAGTAATTTTCCCTGTTCTTCTTTATAGTCAGTCATCTTCCCGTGAACTGAATGATCCCACATTATTGGCAAACATTAAGAATGGCCATGTAAGTGTGTTATTTTTCCTTCAAGTTGACACAGTGATCCTATATAATTTCCGGAGGACTATAGCTCTCTAAACCGAAGAACAGTCTTAGACAACCTTTTTGTAATCAATAAGATTCAAAGGTATATTTGTACTAGTTTTATGAACTACATACTGAATTGATGAGTGAGAGAAAATTTAAACCTTATACAAGGCCTTTTAGCAGCCTTTGTTAAGTCTGTCTACTCTTCCACTATTGGGTTTGGTTATATTTTGTGCTGTCAGTGTCTTCACTGATCTGTCCCAGCACATTGACCTACTTGATTAGAAATCTTGATCCTCTCGACAATTAGGTCTCTTAAAGCTCACATCTATGTATGTGTCCTTCCTTTGCTTCAAACCCTTCTGAGCACCACTCTTGAGAATTAATCAGAATTCATCACAATGCACTTCTTTCAAACCTCCTTCTGTGCCATTGTTTCCTTTGCTCAAAATGGTAAAGCCACATTTGTCAGAAGGCTTCACAAACACACAGAGCTAATTATTGTCTTAGGGCCTTCGAGTGTGTGGCTCCTTTGTCAAATGAGTGCCACCATCACCATGACTATACAAACAGCTGGTTAAGCTTTTTGTCGGATCTTAATCTAACCATAGTCCTCCAGTGTTATTCCCTTGCCTACTATCTAAACTAGACCCCTCTTTTCTCTATCAGGCCCCTGTTTGTTCTGGGAGATCCCATTTCTCCAAGGAGGGCAAGAGGGCAGGGCCACCTGTGCTGTGAGGTCTCCCCTACCTCCTCAACCCTCCTCAACTCAAGGCCCCCCCCCAGCCCCATTTTAAGTGTGTGCCCTGTTTCTCTTCTGGTGCCCAATTCTGTGTGTTTTGGAGGTACAAATTGCAGCTCATTCTCATGCAGCTGGTGTTAGAAACAACTCAGTACTTCTGTGACTTTTTCTAGCCCACAGAAGAATACATAAAGGAATTTTTTATCTTATTATGCGTATGCAACACAGTTCTTCCTGAGAGAGATGGAAATAATATAATCTACCAGGCCTCCTCCCCAGGTAGGTATGATGTGTGGAGCGCAGCTGCTCAGGCCTGTGGGGGCTGGTGTTTCTGTGATGCCCTGGATTGGCCCTGCCTTTCTCCTCTGGGGACCCTCCCATACAGGGTAACTCTGAAGTGCCAGGGCTCCTTGTCCTTGCCCCAGAGACTGCCATAGGGAGTGAAAGGGGGTATCCAAACCTGGGGCTCAGCAGACTGTTGGGTACAACCAGGGATAAAGCAGAGGTAAAGTTAAGGACCTGCTATATTATATGGGGCTGTTATTAGTGGCCCCAAGACAAACTGATGACTGGTAATGGTTAAGGTGCGTTTACCATCAAGGTGGCAAACTCAGTGTGGCCCACTGAAAGAGGCTTTATTAAATCAAATTTTCTCCTTCATGAACATTTTCCGGTATCTAGAAGGACACATAAGAAGTTTTGGATCAAAAAAGCCAAGTTTAAAGATCAATACAGTATTTTAGTGCTGGAGAACATAAAGTTGTATTAAATTACATTCAGTGTTAATGCATCTGCTCAACTCTTATTAATATGGACTATTCATTGACAGATGAAGCTGCTTTAGTGAAAGGAGCAAAAAACCTTGGCTTTGTTTTCACTATGAGAACACCATATACTGTCACCATCCAAGCTGTGAGTAGGATCCCACTAGCTCCAACGTGTTCCATGCACCTGCTTTTCTGGGGGGGGTGGTGGTGGTGGCAGGTACACTGCAGTTAAGAGTGGGTGTGCTTGCCTGGCCTGAAATCTTCCCAGTCATGACTCTCAGGAGCCTTGCTTCACCTCTCTACCTTTGTCTCATTCTATTATTGTGCATGTCAAGGGGCTTTATGAGAATTAGATTAATTAACCTGAGGAAAGTACCTAGAATTAATGTCAGGCACATGGAAAGCGCACAGTTCAAATAAGCTCTTTTAAAGATTTAAAATCATCAGATCTATGTTTTCTCAAGAAGAATTAACGTGATTTAAATTTTTTCGATTGTTATTTTACTTGTTTTTTTATTTTATTTTATATATTTCTTGTTTCCTGTTTCGATAACCTTCACCACAAGTCTTTGATATTATAGGGGAAAATGGAAGCAACACACAATGTTGACCAAGACTTTTACTTTTTTTCTATTAATTTTGTGATGGATTGGGATATTTACTAGACCTTGGATTCTTGGGAAAGGGGCTGATGAATTCATCTTTATGTTCTTTATGCCTGGCACATGGAGAGCTGTGACATTATTTAACATTCTGCAGTGGCAAATGGATGATATCCTGGGAGCTGGTAGATTTGGGGATAAATTGACCTTGACTAAAGGAAGGCATGAGGCTGTAGTGGCAAAAGTGATAAAAGAACTTGTCATTGCTGTAAACCTTTATACATAGCATAGTGCTCCTAGGGTTGCCCCTCCCTTCGTATTAGCTGAATGCTAAGGATTTCACTTGGTCTGTGCAATTTAGTAGCACCCAGATTGCAAACAGTGCTCTCACCAGAGGAGACTGCCATTCCCTCAGATTTGCAGGAATATTTCTGTTTTGAAAATGATACATATTCTGAGAGGTAAAGTTTCTTTATGGCTTGGGAGTGAATTATTTTGCTACATAAGTACTTTTTCCCTCAACTAATATTTCTTATCTTGTCTTTCTATAGATGGGAGAAGAATACACTTTTGAAATCCTTAATATCCTGGAATTTTCTAGGTAAACTACTTCTTTTTCTTTTGGCAGAACTGGGGATTGAACTCAGGCCCTTGCGCTTGCCAGGGAAGTGCTTTTTCCTTTGAGCCATCTCCCCAGCCCCGGTAAACTACTTTCTTAACAGTTCATGCATTCCCCAGGACTGTTTCAACAACTTATCTAAAAAGTTACATCTTGAAAATAAAAGCTGATACATGCTGGTTATGGTGGTGCACACCTGTAATTCCAGTTTGTGTGGAGGCTTAAGCAGCAGAAACACAATTTCAATTTAGTGAGACTGTGTCTCAAAATAAGTGAGTTAATTCATTATTTTTTTAAAGTATTTGGTACAGGGTCTCATTATACATGTTGCACTTGTAGTGATCTTCCTGTTTGCAGCCTCCCTAGCTCTGGGATTACAGGTGTGCACCCCCACGCCTGGACTTGGTCACCAGCGTAGTGCATCTGTGATGCCAGGGATTGAACCCTGGTCTCTATGCTTGCCTAAGCAGGCACTTAGTCCACTAAACTATCTTGCCAATCCTTTAATTAATTAAAGAAAAGGTCTGGAGATGTAGCTCAATAGTCACTTTTCCCACCAGTATAAAAAATTAAAAGCTTTTTTTTTTTTTTTTTTTTTTTTTTTTGGCAGAACCGGGGATTGAACTCAGATCCTTGCGTTTGCCAGTCAAGCGCTTATCCTACTGAGCCATCTCCCCAGCCCCCAAATTAAAAGTTTTTAAAAAGTAAAACAATGTATCTGTTACTTGCCTGACACCCTTGTATTCCCCCATGATTTTAAATTGTGTATACAATTTTTCAGTTGGAGAAGTTACTGCCACTTTTCCGCTAAACATGTGATAGGACAGCTGAATATCTCCTTTCTTCACAGTAGTAGGAACTGTGCTAGTGTGAAGGTTGGTGTCACCATGAAGGCAGGTCCCTTGCCCTAACTTGCTGACAGTCTATTGGGAGGCACAGTTAGTGTGAAAAGGGCTTCTAGACACAGGCCAATACGATCTTAGTAGATGACTACATGAAGTGTACATATAGTGGGATCGGCAGTGATACTTCAATGCATGTACACATTATACAACGCATAAAGCAGGGTTAAATATGTCTCTCACTTCAAACATCGGTCTATTTTTTTTTGATTAACACATTCCAAATCCTTTCTTCCTGCTTTTCAAAATGTGAGATCTTATTGTTATGTATAGATCCCTACTACACAACAGCACTACTACCCACCCTTATGTAGTAACTGTTACTATATAAGTTATATATAATATGTAACTTGTTACTCCTAACCATGATTCAATACCCATTGATAACTTTGGGCATCCTTCCCTACCCATTATTGTCATGGTTTCTGGTAATCATCATGCAGAACTTATCTCTCTGTCCCTGGTTTATTCCTCTTAACACAACAGCCTGCAGTTCTAATTTAACAGTCACAGATGAGAATGTCATTCTTTTTCATAGCTACATAGTAGTCTGTAGTTATTTTTCATTGAGGGGCTTAGGGAAGGCTTTCTGAAGGAGGCTGCATCTTTGAAGGGCAAGTGTAATTTCACAGGACTGGAGAGTGGGACACATGGCCCAGAAATTAGTCATGGAGGGCATGGACATAGAGAGAGGATCTTTTTTTCCCCATAATTTTATTGAGAAACAAATAGCAATGAGACAGTTTCAAAACAAATTGGTAGGATAGTTTCAATAATTAACACATTGCATACATTCTTCCTACTGGTTAGTTGCTGTACAAGATGCAGACATGATATCCTATTTATAAACACTATTAGAAAAAATCCCTGTATTCATTAAGAG